GGCACGTACAACATACAACTTAAAAAATTCACATGAGAGATGATTTGTTGAAAGCTGACAGGACTTGCTACCCGACCCGTCATGTATTACAACGTTAGAGTGGGTTGTTACTTGTTGAATTTTTTTATCGATTTTAATAATAAAGTAATGCATGATTTGGTGTAATTAATTTTGAAAAGTCAGTTCGTTATATTTTCTCACATGGTTAATTAACTTATCTTAAATCAAGGTAATTAATTTGCATCATGAAGTTGACTTTCTTTTGTCCTATTAATAATGTTATGAAAAATGAATGCTGCACCTAATTAAATCTTATTTCTGAATGATTCATCGAAAAACTTATTTCTTATTCTCATATTTTCTAAAGCACAATGATGATGAAGTGGCGTCTGAACTACGCTTGATACACCCTATCATGACATTGAATTAATTTTAGCCTTTACAATGCTAATGCTAATCTCAATCTTATGCTTATCATTGCCCAAATTGGTGTCGGCAGTAAGTATACAAGAAGTTGAATATCTTTGCCACAATTATTTCCAATTACCTTACCCAAATTACACCATTCCATCTCGTTTCTCTTTTTCAATATTTTTTTTTTTTTATCATCAAAGGTGTCTAGACTAGTTTACACGTACTTCAACTAATTCTCGAAGCCCTAGAACTATTAGTTAAGTAAAAGCTCCAATGACCACCTCTATTAGTATCTGAGAAGATTCGAATTCAAGAGTTTATAAGTCCGTTTGATTCATTATTCTCATATTTTTTAGAATAATATTTTGAAAAAAGTAAAATTAGGTGGGTATTACGATGTAGGATTTGGAAATAAACAAAAATATCCCCCTATGTTTGTTTATTTACTAAATACCCCTATAATAAAAAATTAAAAATTAACAAAAACACCTTCAATCCACCCATTAAATACGGACAGCCGGCTAACAACATCAGAGGGTGGCCAGAGTCATCGTATTGACACATGACCGGCTGGATCTGGCCATTCGTCAGCTGATATGACATTTTCCGGTCAGATCCACGGAAGATCTGGCCGAAAAAGGCCAGATCTAGCCGCATTTGGTCGTCAACGACGGCCAAAGATACGGCTGTTGTTGATGGTCAATGACGGTCATATCTTGGCCGTTCGTTTACGACTGGCTACGGCCAAACAACTGCTAGATCTTTGACCGTAGATCTGACATTTTTTGGCCAAATCCACCGTGGATCTGGTTGGAAAATGCTAGATCGGCGCACTACCGGCCAGATTCAGCCAATAGTGCGCTATTATACCAGATTCCGACTAGCTTCCGACGGTGATAGCCGGAATCTGGTAAATGTGGGTTGCTTGGGTGTTTTTGTCAATTTTAAAAACTTTTTTTGGGGTGTTTAGTTAAATTAAGAAATTTAGGGGGTTTAAAAAAATTGAATAATATAGAATAATATTTTGAGAATGAGAGAATAAATGTGTATTTTGGATAAAATAGGAAATAGAATACTAAAAAATTATCTACCAAACGGAGCCTATGAAACCTCTTTTGCTCTTTTACCATTAGACCACACAGTGATGGTTTTTTCAACGCTCCTTGTATGTTTATCTTTTCACAAAGGAGAGAAGAAAGAAAAAACAATTAGGGGCAGTTTGGTTCGGGGTTAAGTGGCATTACTGGGGTAATGTCATCTTATATTACTTGATTACCACGTTTGGTTGTCAAGTAATATAAGATACCAGTAATCTTTAAATACCAATAGTGGTTACTATTGGTAATATAAGAGGTAATCTGATTACCTCCATTTTCTTAGGTTTTTTGAGATTACCAGGGTTATCTTTTTTTGTTACAATTTTATCCCTTATTAATAAAAATTTTGGACAATAATACCCATACTTTAAAACAAATTTACATTAATATCCTACTTCAATTTTACCCTTACAAAACTGATTTTAGCAGAAAGTTTGATGGGTATCAAGTATCAAATGGGTGTAGTTGTGATCTTTCCTTACCTCCTCCAAAAGTTTGAAACACAAAGGTACAAATGTAGGCCCAAAACTTAATACAACCAACGCCAAATTAACCACAGCAGCCGTTAGAAACACAAATCAATAATTCAATCATAAAACCAAACGAAATCGCACCAGGCTATTACGGTGTGGCGGCAGTCGCCCTAGGCTGTGACAACAATCGATTTGGGGCTTCAATTGGCTGTGTCTCTGTCTGTGCGTATTCGAGCGAGAGAGACCAAGAGAGTCAGAGAGTTGAGCGAGAGAGACCAAGAGAGTCAGAGAGTTGAGCGAGAGAGACCAACAGAGTCAGAGAGTTGAGCGAGAGAGACAAAGTGAGATTGAGATGAGATCTGGTGATTCACTGATTCTGGTCTGAGAGAGTGAAAGGCTTAATGCTGTGCGTGTTTCAGGCTTTGAGCGAGAGAAACAGTGAGAGATTGAGTGAGAGATTGAGACGACAGAGTACAGACGCGAACTGGTCTGAGAGAGTGAAACTGTGACTCTGTGAGAGACTGAGAGGCTGTGCGACTGATGATGACGACTGTGAGAGACTGAGAGGCTGTGCGACTGACGATGACGATGACGACTGTGAGAGACTGAGAGGCTATGCGACTGACGATGACGACTGTGAGAGACTGAGAGGCTGTGCGACTGACGATGACGACTGTGCGTGAGCGAGAGTGCGAGACTACGTGTTCGTGTTCGAGTCGAGGGAGAGAGATAGTGAGTGTTTACTGTTTAAGGTTCGTGTTCGAGTCTGAGACACAAAGACAGAGAGTCAGAGTAGTGAGACTATTGTATTTTTCGTTGGAGACTTGGAGAGTTGGAGTATAGACACTTAGACAGACAGACTGTTAGAGTGTTAGTGTCTTAGTGACTTAGTGTTACTGTGTTAGCACTGTTAGGGACTTAGGGTGAATTTAATTTTGAAAACTCAAAACGACGTAGTTTAGCAAAATCCGGATCGGATACGGATATCCGATTTTTTTATAATCCTGATCCAGTATCCGATCCGAATATTCGGATTTTGCTAAATTCCGATCCGTATTCGATCCGAATTTTCGGATATCGGAATTTTCCGGAGCAGAGCGGAGCGGATTAGGATCGGATATCAGATTTTTTTGCACAGCCCTATTAATTAGGCATTGTGACCTAACCCCAGAGTTGGGAGCCTTTAGATGGTGGTCGACCATGATCTGATCAAAGGACTGCCAATCATTTGAAGTTGGGGGAAGCCCTTGGAACTGGCTGTAAAAACCCCCTCCAATGGCTGGGGAATCCCTAAGAAATTCAGGGGCTGGGGGCTAGGATAGGGAAGTTTTCCTCCTCAACCCCTATCATTATTTTATTATATATATGTTATATTCATGCATATAAATTCTATGCGTTTTTTTTTTTTTTTTTTTTAATAATTTATACATTAAAATTAGATGAAAATGATTAATATTGAGTTTAATTTGATAAAAGAATAAGAAATTAAAGAATTGATCACAATTTTGAGAAGAGAATAAATCTTAGCCTCTTGTTTATGTTGTTGCCTTGTGTCATTAGATTATGAGTAATACTATATCCACAACCTTTTCTTATAATCGCGATCGTAACAGCTCGTAATTAATTAGCCGTAATTTGTCAGGTGGAACCTATTATGAACTGACCAATTGCGAAGGGGTTGTAAGAAAAAGTTTGTAAAAAAGAGTTGTGGGTGTAACATTACTCTTTAATTATTAAAAGTTGAGGTAAAATTAAATGAGGATAGGATTCATACGTGGGGTTTTTATATTTAATTAATACCGGTTTATAAAGGTTGAATTTTTATCCTCTACATTACAATGACCAATAGTTAATCCAAAAACTTCTAAATAATACACTTTTAAAGAGTATTACAATCATTGTTAATTTAGTTTTATTTAAAAAAGAAAAAGAAAAATGTGTTAAAATTTCCAAAAAAGAGACAAGTATTTGTATAGATACGGGGATGGATTTTGTCTTCTACATGCGATTTACTCACCCCTTTTCCTGACTCCCAAATTCCCGGGACGGAGACAGTGGCCTCCAAATTTTAGATTGGGTTCGGACATTAAGTTTGGTGTTGGAGGATGAGACACGGAAAACATTCCCTAGTAGTGTTTTAAAACCCGACTCGACCCGACTGGTTGAACCCGGACCTAGGACTCGAGGCCTTCATTGGGCCTAGTTTCAATTTTCAGTATTCATCAAAACCCTAAAAATTAAGATGACGATTGACAAACAATTGAAGGCTAAGATGTTGGGGGTTTTGAAAAAGAAGGGCCAATGAATTGAAAAGTGGCATTGAAAGTGATTTTCGGGGAGTGAAACAACCTAAAATCACAAAAATAAATTGGCGACAACAACGGGCTATTGCCGTGATTGTTGAGGCGAATAAGGGCGAGATGAGATGGGTCTTGATCAGGAGACTGAAGAGAGAGTTTTCATGATGATGAGGTGTGTTGTCGACGTTTGAAACATGCCCTATTCGACCTGGGTTGTTGATATCGAGGGTGTAATTTAAGATGTTTTTATAAGATTTTAAACTTATAGAGACTTATAGTAATTTTAGAAGTGTTTTTACTAGATTTTAAACTTTTTTACATATAGATGTCACCAATTTAACCTGTCGATCAAACTAGTATAACCAATCAACCTGAGACCCAACCAATTTGCTGGGTTTTACCCCAAGCCAGGTTTTAAAACCTTGTTCCCTAGCCTCATCCTAGGAGATTGCCAACCCTAACAATCGCAATAATAACAATACAACAAATGGTTTACTGGTAGTGTTATTACTCACAAAACTGGTTTTACAATATTTAATGCTTCTAGCTTTGCCAGATACTGGAATTTGTAATTTTGTTGAAAGATTTTATTAACGCTTAGGAATATTTTCCAAAAATTTGTAGCAGTATAAAGGCAGAATTTTCATGTATTCTTGCTTCATTTGACAGGAAATTTCAGCAAAATATATAAAAGATAGAAAATTGATGCATCCTAATACACAGCAGAACATTTCATCATGTCTTAAAATATTAAATTGAACGAAATGTTTCAGACATTTTACCATATGTTACAGAAGCCAGAAATACAGTACTTGGAGAACCCTGCTTGTATCTCTCAAACCAGAGATTCATTTACCCGATTGAAACTCATTCAAATACAATTCTTTTGGATGATAGAAAACGGTTAAAAATGAAATTGTCTAAACCATGACAGGTTTCAATATCACAATGAGATAAAGGCCAATTGAAAACCGGAGAAGGGATGAAAAGCTCCATGATTTTGTTGTCGACAAAGATACCTTAATTCGACCAAGAATGGGTGATGCACTTGCACCCACCATTTTGCTTAGCATCGATGGGAAGCTTTTTACAAATCTCCAATTTTCTTCATTATTGTTTAGGGTTGGGAGCAGCCATCTTTCCACCTGCAACCCTTAAGTTTTCTTTACAAACAGCTCGGATGGAAGATTCCAACTTCCTACAACTTCATTTGACCAAAACCTCCCTTGAATGAACCATAAAGAGGTTGTGATCTTCTGAAACTGAAAATATCATCAATGTGAACGACAGTAGGCTCAACTGATTTGCTGTTGTCTGATGTGTACTCAGATGCATGTTGGTTCCCGTACACTCGAATGCTTAGAGTCTTCTTCTGAGGTGCACCAATTTTAACATATTCATTGAAGAAAGCTATCAATTCTTCTTGTGTAAGCTGCCTTAAAGCTGCAACCTGTTTCAGTTTCAACAGTTGTAAAAATGAACTATTTCGCGAAATAATAAGTCCATGACTACAGATTGAAAAAATAATTTTAATTTGCTCAAGTTCCTTCAAAATCATGTGTTTGATAAGAAAGAGTTCAAACAGTGCAGAGGGTATGTTCTTTAAGTCCCTCAGTTCATCTTATTCTCCACTAAAAAAGAAAATAAGTCTCCAAACATACTTGAAGAATCTTGTTTTGAAAATGTGGAAGAAGATGAGATTGATTTTCATACCTCAGCTTCCCTCCTATCAAATTTGAGGGTCCCATTGGAAATCTCTCGCCAGTAGAATCTGGATTCTTCCCTTAGATTCTTGTGCTTCTCAAACTTCATATCAATCAAGGTATTCACGTTGCTCTGTGTCACAAATATTATTTCATCCTTAGGGGGCCAGATCGACTAAATCACAGATATTGCATATAACAAGAAATATTTTAGTCAAGATTTTGCACACAAGAAACTTGTAGCTGGGTGGGCTATGGAACGAGAATAAGACAGTTGCTACATTTCTCAGCCGTCAGAAAATCTGATTGTTCAGAGATATCCTTAATCCTTTCCATATTCTATGATCACTAAATCAGTTACAATGATTCAATTGAAGATAATTTTAGACACATAATACCTAAATGTCCCTCATCACACTGATTGGGTTGATAATGGTGATTCAAGTTAATTGTGAAAAGAATTGTGATCTCATTACGTCAACAATCTATTTGTTTGTATTTAACACAGATCCATTTGCATCCAGAATTAAATATACAGCAAAAGAAAGGAGGATGAACAACCATACTAGTTTTATATACCTAGCACGAATAGGAAAATATTTACCCTTAGCATACACCAAATTGTTTTCAGCTGTTATGGATCTAGAATTAGGAGCAGAAATGTAATGTCCCTATTAAAAGCATGCTACCGAACTGATTGATTGAATTTTCTATTTGTAAGAGATTCAAACTCTGAACTACCCAAAGAAAAAAAAAAAAAAAATCATACATATCCACTACCAATTTTCATAAAGAATAAATAAATAAAATTCTTCCATTGTGATTAGAGAAAACATTCTCATCACTGGAGCACAAAGAAAGAAGTCAATTAGAAAAGTATTATCTCACCTTGAATTGTTCACTAGTCATCTCATAAAGTTTACTTCCAAACATCTCGAGGAATGATTCAACTCTTGTATCAATATGTTTTGGACCCTGTTAAAAAATCAACAAAGCACTTGAGGCAATGAGGCAATGCTGCAAATTACAAGAGGAAAACTATGTCATATACCTTCACAGAGGATTGGATGATGAACTGNCCTTCACTTGTAAAGTGTGACTGATAATGAAGTAATACAGCAGTTTCTTTTCTCCTCTGTTCTTTGTCCTCTAACATGGTATCAGAGTGATAGCTTCCAGTTTTCTTTTCTTGATCAATTAAAGCTTTCGAGCTTCGTTATCAGTTCATCTGAAATCTATCTTCAAAGTTTTCTTTTCTTTTTAGCTTGAAATCGTCAATTTATGAGCTGATCTTTAAAATGGGAAGTTCAAACCGTTAGCCAGTAGTGAGTGCAATTGATTCCAATTCACCTCTCTATATTCATCCATCAGATACGCCTGGTTCTATATTAGTGACAGAACAACTAATTGGCACAGAAAATTATGGTATATGGAGCCGAGCGATGACTGTTTCTTTGCGAGCAAAGAACAAGTTAGGGTTTGTTGATGGAACATGTGAAAAGCCTTCATCTGATTCTACTTTGAATGCTCAATGGGAGAGGAGTAATTCCTTGGGATTAGCTTGGATTTTCAACACGATATCAAAGGAGATTTTCAATGGAATCGTCTACTCAACCAGTGCTTATCAGGTATGGAAAGATTTACAAGAACAGTATCATAAGGTGAATGGAACAAGAGTATATGGGATTCACCGGGAGATAGCTAATCTCACTCAAGGAACATCTACAGTAGCGATTTATTACAATAAACTAAAATCGCTCTGGGATGAGCTAAATTCTCTAGTTAGCTTACCGCCTCCAGATAGTGCATCTGCTAAGGCTTATCTTGATCATCTAAATCAACAGAATGTTAGACTTTTTACATTATGGTCCTACACTTTTAATATAATTTCATTAAGGTCCTACACTTTTACTTTTATGCTGATGTGGATTTTAATGTAAAAGTGTAAAAGTCGTGTCTCTTCTCTTGAGCAGTTGTCTTTGATGGAAAGACAACTGCATATAAAGGAGACTTTACAGGTCCCCATTAGACGCAATTTTTATTTTGATTCCCAAAAACCATCACCCAAAATTGCAGTCAGTGGAAGATCCTGTAATTCATAAAGGAGCAAGAAGATCAAAGAACAATTGCTATGGCTGGAGGTTTGTCATTTACTTCCGCATATATTCCATGGAGATTTTAAACTGAAATTGATTGTGTTATCAATGAATATTGGAATATGTATGTGTTTTACACAGAAATTACTGCAATTTCTAATGGGACTAAATGATTCGTACTCGATGGTGCGTAGTCAAATTCTCTTGATATCTCCAATACCCCCATCGAGTATGAATACCACCTAAATACCAAGCTTGCCTCTCCAAAATTTCTTCTCTTACTGAACCTGTTGACTTTCACCAAGCCTCTAAAGATCCACATTGGGTTGAAGCCATGAAAAATGAGATTCAATCCTTAGAAAATAATCCTACATGGTCCTTGATCACTTTACCTCCTGGTAAGATTCCTATAGACTGTAAATGGGTGAATAAATTGAACTATAGAGCTGATGGTTCCTTAGAAAGATACAAGGCAGGTTTAGTTGCCAAAGGGTATACTCAACAGGCTGGTATACACTATGCAGAAACTTTCTCACCAGTTGTCAAAATGGTTACTGTTAGGACCATTTTAACTCTAGCTTCCATGAATAATTGGCCTCTCTACCATATGGATGTAGACAATGCATTTTTACAAGGAGATTTGCATGAAGAGATTTATATGAATCTGCCACAAGGGTTTGTCAAACAAGCTGGACAAAATTTGGTGTGTAAACTCCATAAATCTCTATATGGGTTAAAACAGGCTTCTAGAGCCTGGAATTCTAAACTCACCTCAGCACTTCTCTCTAGAGGTTTTCATTAGTCCAAGTCAGATTACTCTCTTTTCATTAAGAGAAATGGCTCTCAAGTGGTGATGTTACTTGTATATGTGGATGATATAGTCTTAACAGGCAGTCATCTAGATTTAATTAATCACACCAAGCAATTACTTCACTCACATTTTAAGATTAAAGACTTGGGATTATTGAGGTATTTTCTGGGCATTGAAGTGGCCAGGTCTGATAAAGGTATTAATATCTCTCAAAGGAAATATGCTCTTGAATTGATCTCTGAAACAGGTTTATCAGCTTCGAAACCTGTTTTAATTCCTTTGGATCAGCATCTCAAGCTTACTTCTTAGACTTATGATCAATTATTTCACATTGCTGATGATCCTTCCTTGCCTGACCCAACTGTTTTCCAAAAACTTATAGGGAAACTTCTGTATCTTTGCATGACTAGACCAGATTTGAGTTATTCTGTGAATCTTCTAAGTCAATTCATGCATAATCCCAAACAATCACACATGAATGCTGCATTGAAAATTGTCAAATATGTGAAATCTACTTCAGGTTTAGGATTATTTTTTCCATCAAATAACTCTTTGCAGTTACAAGCATATAGTGATTCAGATTGGGCCTCCTGTCTCATGACCAGAAAATATGTTACTGGTTACTGTGTTTTTCTGGGAAATTCTCTTCTATCCAGAAAATCAAAACGGCAAGTTACAGTCTCCAAGTCATCTTCTGAGGCAGAATATAGGGCTATGGCCTCCACTGTTTGTGAAATAATTTGGCTTGTTCAACTGTTCTCTGATCTTGGTTTCCCTAATTTGGCTCCTCTTACCTTATATTGTGACAATCAATCAGCTAACAATATTGCTTCCAATCCAATGTTCCATGAGCGCACTAAACATATTGACATTGATTATCATTTGGTTCGAGAGAAACTCAAGGATGGTTTAATCAAAACTGCATATGTTCATACAAGTGAACAACCAGCTGATTTATTGACGAAAGCACTTAGCAGTAAAACTCATCATCATCTATTGCGCAAGTTAGGAGTTCTAGATCTCTATCACTCACCAACTTGAGGGGGGCTATTGGAGAATAATAGTTACAGTAACAGATTGTAGTTACAGTTACAGTTAACTTAGTTTAGTTTGTTTATATTTTAGTTTGTTACAGTAAGCTAGAGCAGTTACATTGACTATAGTTAATTAGCTGTCTTTAATCATAGTTAGTTACTGCAGTTAGTTGTATTGTTTGATTAAAAGGACTTCGATCCTTCACTTGTAAAGTGTGACTGATAATGAAGTAATACAGCAGTTTCTTTTCTCCTCTGTTCTTTGTCCTCTAATAGATAAGATGTGTAATTACATTGACAAAACAATCGTGGAAGTGAAGCCGGATGAGTTTGGCACCAATTCGAGCATCATTTTCTCTAGCTTTCTCAACCACACCACGCACAATGCTCGACACATTTGGACATGTGTTAACATAAAATGTTGGACTCAACTGGGCACTAGACGCCTCAAACATTATGGCAATGAAAAGAACAATGGATGTGATCCGAAACCAAGAAATTTTTCTTTAGAAAAAAAAAAAGAAGGAAGATAATTTAAGTTAATGTTGTTTGTTTTAGTAATTTTGTAATGGCTTTGTGCATGAGAGACTATGCTGAGCCCTTTATATAGTTGGACGCTTGGCTTGGACCTTAGGCACATTAATGGCCAAATAAAAATAAAATAATAATTCACATATTTTTTGAGTTACTAAATTTGATAAATTAATCCGTGTGCTTCATACTTTCTGCATTATATTGTTTGATATAATGAAAAGGAAAATTGGCAACAAACTATATGTAAATTCAAGAGGCCTTTTATGGTACAATTGTTCTTGAATTTCTGCGGAAATGGGGTCAAGATGGATCAAAATTTGTTATGAGTTCCTTAATTTTAAATAAATCCCCTCATTTAGAACCCCTTCCATATTTATAATTAGCCACCATGAATTCACATCTTTTGATGGATATAATCATATAAACTTCTAAAGATAGGATATAATCTACGCGGTTTCTGATACATCAAAGATTTACAAATCCAAATTGTGTTGGAGATTAAATTTGATGTACAATATTCTTCGCACAATTTACTCCAAATTTAGTCAGCAATGTTACTTTTACCTAATTGATTTGATAATTCTTATATCAAAATCATATGTAAATTAAATTAATATGATAGTGCAAATCAATTGTTACATCAATTTGAAAAACAAATTGAAATTGTCTAATATATGCTACTCGATTCATCATATGATGGAAAAATTCTAGCAAGGTAACTGTCGGTGGGAAAAAAATGCTCTTCTATCAATTGATGGTGGACAAAATGTCTTTGATATTTGAGCTGTGATAGAATCTTGTTCTAAATTAGTCACGCCATTATTCTTTTTCTCATAATGTCTTGAGGAATATAGTTGCCAACTATGAAATTTTGATATTTTCTGCATAATTTCTAGAAATAAATTAAACACATTGAGAAATTTTGGTACTTTTAGGTTGTACCAAAGCAGCTACATAAATACATATGGCTATTTGTTTTTAGGGGTGTTCAAAAAAATGTAGAAACCGAACCTAACCAAACTAGTAATTGAACTGAATTTTCATTTATTCGAAAAACCGGTTCGGTTTCGGTTCAAAGAAACTAAAAAACCAAATTTTCGGTTCACTTACCGATTTGGGAGAATATGAAAACCAGTTTATTATAAAAATATTAAATTAAAATAAAAAATAAAAAAATATGATTTGTTATAAAAATATTAAATTAAAAAAAAACATATTAAATATTAAATTAAAACCGGTTAACCGGTTTCTACTAACTGGTTAACCAATTTTTTAGTTAACCAAAAAATTGGTTTTCTCCTTAACCAGTTCGGTTTCAGTTCAAGAAAATTCTTGAACGAAAAAACTGGTTATACAATATATATATATAATCTCTCTATAGTTACATTTTATATAGGAATAATCTTTATATAGTCATAAAAAATTTTGATACTAACTTAGACTAGTTATAAATAAGAATTAATTTCATATTATAATAAATTATAATTTTTTTAAGTCCCATCTTAAGGTACCTTTTTGGTGGCCATCGAAAATCGAATGTCAAAAATCGAAAATTGAAAATTGATAAGCAAATTGAAAATTGTTTTAATACAAATGTGTGCATCTCTATCATAATTAAATAGGTACCTTTTCGGTGGCCAAAGGAAAAAAAAAAAGAGAGAGAGAGAAAGAAAAATGCTAC